TAAGCTACTGGCAAGGATAGCACACATAAGAACATAAGAATGAAGGTAACTGCATAAGACCTATTGGCCCATACGAGGCAGCTCTTATTTATATCCACCCAATCTCATTCATATAAATGGCTAATCTACACTTGAAACAATCAAGGGATCCTACTTCTATTATGGTACACAGTAATTGGTTCCACAAATCAACAACACTGTTACCAAACCAGATAACTATTATGCCCTTCAAAAAGACCTGAACTGAGTAAGTTAATGGAACACATGGCAAAAGGTATGCAAAAGATGTGAAACAAACCATATGCATGGAGCCATATGAAACCATATGAATGAAGCACAGTGCAAAATGGAAGTGAATGGAACACATGGCAAAAGGAATGCAAAAGATGTGAAACAAACCATATGCACTCTACAAATTGTGGAATGATGGTAAAGAACTCTGGGAAGGAAAGAGATCTTGTGGTGGGATTGGAGAGTAAACTATCACCAGATTACCACACGAAGGCCATAGTAAAAGGACCATATATTCCTTTGGCCAATTTTCAGAATTACATTTCAATTCACGAATGGAGAAATTATAAAAAATCAAAATGTTCAACACAAGACGACTAAACTACAATGTGCAGCAGTTCTGTGATGCCAAAGCTCAAAGGGCCAGTAAACTAGAAAAGTTGCTAGCACTTGCTACTAAATGGTTTTGGATCTAAAACACTATGAGCTATGAGGAAAGCCTCAAGGCATTAGGTATGCAAAAACTAGGTATGAAAAAAACTAGGTAATATGATCACATTCAAAACTACCACAGGAATTGCCAAATAGAAAAGGGTAATTTGCTTAAATCTGCAACATAAAGGAAGAGGAGTCCATTTAGACTGAGAAAACGAAAGTATAGTACTAAAAATCTTAAGAAATATTCTTTTGAAAACGAGTGGTAGATGGAAAGAATAATTACGAGACGATAGACGTCAAAAAACCCAGCTGCATTAAAGACTTATAAAGATGGAATACCGTAAGCGTAGTGACTATGGACTTGATGTTGTGGTTGGCTTTGATGGTATTTAAGCCTGAGGTGAACAAGTTTGGAATTTTGAAGTCATTAGTAGGGTAGAAAGAGGCTTTGAATGTTCACTGATAAGTTTTCATGGTAGGAGTGAGACTACTGTTTGAGACAAGAATCTTGACACTTCATGCATGCATTCTTTCCTCCATAGAAGAGCAGAAGTTAATGAATGTGATTCTGCAGTAAATTTGCACTTTTTGCAAAGTTTTAAATAAATCAAATGCACAGAGTTAGCTTCTCTCTTTCATCTTGCTTCCAATGCTGCCTATCGCTACCTGGTATGTTGACACGGTTATTATTGGTGTGTGTGTTTTAGGTGTAGGGAGGAGGTGTGTGAGGGGGTGTAGCAGTGCACGACATTTCACAGACACTCTGGATAAGCAAACAACGGAACTTCTTTAGTAGAATTATTTTGGTCATTGCCTGTATATTGTGTGTGATATCATGGAATTGTGTATGGTGTAAAGTCTATTCTCCATCCCTTTTGTGTGTGTGTGTGTGTGTGTGTGTGTGTGTGTGTGTGTGTGTGTGTGTGTGTGTGTGTGTGTGTGGTGTGTGTGCATGTGTACTTTCAGGCATATAAAATCATTGCCTGTTATGTCTCTCTCTCCCTTTCTCTTTTTCTTTTTCTCTCTTTCTCTATCTCTTTCTTTCTCTCTTTCTCTTTCTTTCTCTCTTTTTCTCTCTTTCTCTCTCTCGCTATATATATATATATATATGAATATATATATATATATATATATATATATATATATATATATATATATATATATATATATATATATATATATATATATATATATATATATATATATATATATATGAATATGAATATGAATATACATATATTCTCATTTTTTCTTTTCTTCTTTAATTTCCTGTTTACTGGTTATGTTTCAACAGCAGCTTCCGCTGACTATATTAACATGTGTTTCTTCAACTTTTGTGTATCTCATTTTATGTTGACATTTTTGGAATGGATGCTCTTCTTTCCTGTAGAGCATAATTTAGGTCATTTAAATTTTCAGTGGTTTCTGGATCTTATTTTTGTGTTGGCATGTACTGTATTTAACTCTGTTCTTTATTCATTCTCATTCTCTCTGAAAATTGATCAAGTGTACATTTAATAATGTATAAATATGATTGGTTTCTGTAATATTATGCATGTCTTTTGTCATCTAGGGTTATCTTGAGTTATCTTGAGGGTCATTTGCTCATCAATTTTCATCACATACTTAGCTGAAGCAGTACTTTTTCATGCCTTGGTGGTACTTGTCAACTTTCAGTTTTTTAAATAATCTTGCTGCTAAGATCCTCTCAGTGACAGGATAAAACTTTGGATTGCCTTTGTAGTGCACTGATGAATTGCATGATTAGTCATATTGTGTGCAACATTGCAGAATAGGTTGATGCAGAGTGTGTGCCTGTTCTCATTCTACAGTGGTTTACGATTTAAATAATAGAATATTCGTGCTAACAAATTATTTGTGACTTTTATGTATCTTAATATAACAACCAAAACTGTGACGTATTTGTGATTCAGCTACGTATATAGGAAGTTAGAGCTTCATCCTAGACTAGACTTCTTATGCTTGGAAAAATTAGTTGCTAATTTAATAAAACTGGGCATTTCTATTTTGATATCACGTTAAACTAGCTTAACTTGGTTAGGACATTGTTTTTGCATATGGTAAATGCATGTTATTTTAGGGGTAGTTTCTATTAAGGTTGTATCACACAGGGCACTTAAATTCTTTGGATACTAATGTTCATAACATTACTCTCTTGAACAGAATTCTTAGATATTGCTTTAATCTCTTGGATATGAAATTGTTTCCTGGTGTACATGAGTTTGTATTATTAATAAATTAAATTTATTTAGTACTATATTAATAATATTTTAATAAATTCTTTAATGAATGTTGTTGCTTTGGAATTAAACAGTGAGTAATTTTGACTTGATTGGTAATAATTTTAATTAATGCATTCTACTTGGAAATAGTGCATTAATGTTACCCCTGAATGTTTTAGTGGCTTGTGTTTAAAATGGATATGTTTCCATCTCAGTTTATATTAGCTTTGATGACTCTGCGAATATTGACAGTGGGGTGTGTAGAGCCATTCACTGATTGTGATCACATTAGTAACACCTCTCCCAGCATAATTTCTCCTGCTGCTGTGCCTGAAGTTCTTGATGCAGACGACGAGTCACAATAACGTGGCTGAGGATATCATGACTAAACGACACACCAGAAGATGAGGAGATGACGACATTTCAGTCATCCTGGACCATTATCAGTCAACTTGATAGTGGTCCAGGATGGACCGAAACGTCGCCGTCGTCTCCTCATTTTCTGGTGTGTGGCTTAGTCGACAAGTTTTTGATATTGAGGTGTATTTAAATTAATATAATTCCACTATTGGGGGCTGTTAATATTTAGTAATTGACCTGTTAATTTTAAGTAACTGAGCATGTAAAGTATTTTTTTAATTTCCTAAAAATCCATAGTGATTGGCATTTTATGTGGGAAAGCTGAAGGTTAAGACAATTTTATCTCTGGAAAATTTCCTTCATAATAGTTTGCCATGATTTGTGTGTGATAATACTTACATCATAAGTTATTACTGTAAATATATATCCAGTACCTGAGTCGTTATGCTGGATAATCTCAGGAGAAGATTCTGATTAAAGGTTTATTTGTATTACAAATTTCATGCTTCTGTTATACTGTATATATACACACACAATATATGTGTACAGTATATATGTATATGTACAGTAATTTGACAAAGTCATGTGTGGTTAAACAAAAATAGATGCAGTTATATTAAGAAGTAATTTTGGATGCCTAGTCTTCAAAGCTTCAATTGCAAAAAATACACCAAACCCTTACTAAAGAATTTAAATGTGTTAAATTAGTTTTCATTTAGCTACTGTAGTTGTAGATACTTCTAAAGCCAAAACATTTCCCCACATTAAATTCATTTATAAATGTATGTTACAAATTCATATTGAGTGGGTGGAGGTGTTGTGTGGGAGGAAGTGCTTGCTTGTCTTCAGTGTCACAACACTGTATTCACCTTCGTATGCTCCTTGTTTTATGCTTGTCAAGTGTGTGATTGTGCTTGGTACCCTTGTCGTTGCCAGCAGTTAGCACCACCACAACCACCACCACTACTACAACTACCAACTCTAATGTGACCTCACTTGTCTGACTTCTCTCATCCTCACCTCTCCTGGAATCTGACCCTGGCATGGCTGATTTTGTAAATGGCTGGCAAGATCGTGGCTGGTACACAGTGTCACCTGGCATCTCGGGCATTATGGACCCAATACAGAATTACTTCTTGAAATCAAAGTGAGATTATAATATTCCTTCTTCAAAGGCTCATGATATGTTGTACAGCTGATTTCTCCAGCACATAAACTAATTTGCACTGTATTCTAACATGATCTAAACTCTCACTATATAGTATATCAGTGAAAATCTTCTCCTTGTTTCATAATGTGCATGTATTGTGGCATGTTTTCTTTATATAATCAAAACTAGCAATATATTCAAAATTTAGATGGAAAAGATTGCATTGTACTTGAGTTTTCCAAATACAGTATATAAATCTAATGTCATTGGCATCCTAATCTAATCTCTAATTTTCTTCTGTAGTTGATGATTTAGATTTAGTATCTAACATTTGTATCTTTAGTGACAAATCATAAATACTATGATTTAGATAGTATCTAAGTTTTCAATATGCGTAAAACTTTGGTGTGGAGGCATTTAATTACCTCTCATGTCTATTATGTCTAGCTTTCAGCAATGTCATTGAACTGGTCAGTGTTAAAAGCTTCAGTTACATGGTAATATTCCATGTGATTGATTAAATTTAATATGGCTACACCAGTCCCAAAACTGATTTCTTGTTCCACAATCCATAACAGAATCGTCAGTACCAGCAGGGCGGCAAGATGGCCGCAGACCGAACCGCTAATCGCTATAACCCCATCGGCAGTGGTGGTGGCTATGGTAATTATGGCGGTGGGAATGGTGCGGGCTATTCCAACCACGCGGCTGGCCAAACTCCTTTCTACAACTTCTCCACACCATCATTCACTGGAGGAAACTACACCTCGTTCACCGGCATGAGTGGTAACTCTGGCGATGATGGTTACGATCGATACTGAGGCCGGCCCGTGTGTGTGTTCTGAGTGACAAAACCAGGCTACATGCAGGAGAAAAAATACACAATGCAAACGACCTATTTCATTGGGATTTTTGTAGATGAAAAGGAAAATACAGAGCTGTTAACCTGTTACAGTGGTTTGAAATTTTTTTTTTTATCTTTTCATTGATAGTAAATATTACCAAAACATTGTTTGATCTTGTAATTTTTCCTTCATATAAATAGTGGCATTACTTCTAAACCTTCCAAACGAGGGCACTGCTACGTTGTTAGTCAAGAAGTTGTGTCATTCTTGAGAATATTCAGGCTTTATTGTCATTGAGGAAATGTGCTATGCATTTTAAATGCTTAGATCTCTGGTGTAGTCATCTTCACGTTATGTGCTCTTTATGAATTTTTTACCTCTGATTTTATCTGGTAGAAGCAGGAAGTCTATTCATTGTTTATTTTAAATTATTTGGTGTTGAAATTGGAGCAAAACTTTTTTTTTTTAACCAGTTGTCACTCTTTTTTTTCTATATATATTTTTTTTCTCCCCCCATTCTGCCGAGTTATGCCTTGGCCAGGCCTTGGTTATAGTACCAAGATTTTTCTTTTTCATATCTTGTATACTTGTTTGTTTTTGTATTTTTGGTGAACATATATATTAGCCAACAGAATGTCAGAAAAGTGTGTTTTTTCATTAAGTATTTTATTATACTGTGGATTTCCCTGCGGCAGACGAGTGATGCTGCTGTAGCTAGATGTCATTTATTATGGTTATTATACTGTAGTCTTATTCATATATCCTATACTTACATAATTGATGGTTTCATATATCTTTTTCCATATGTGTTCTTTGATGCTTGGAAAAACTATGGTTTGTTTTTTGGTACAGTAAGGTGTTGTTTTAAGTTTTTCATTGAAATGTTGACGTAAAATGTTTTGTTTATCACGTACTATTGGTCGGTAGCCACCATACCCGAACATACTGTAATTATTATTTTTTTTTTCTCCCCCCTCCCCCCCATGAAAACTCAAGAAATGTTTTGTACAGTGCAACATTATTTTTGCTCACACTGTAATAAGTTACTTGACAGATATATTTAATAAAGTGAAACTATCTTATGTGCTTTTCTCCCCTGTTAAGGACAGTATTGTCATTATAATTGATTATTAATTAAATGAATTGTGCTATAATTTGATTATTGTAATATGGATTATTATAATTGGATATTATTATTATTATTATTATTATTATTATTATTATTATTATTAAAGTGTATATCCAGATTGTTTCAGTTCTGAAAATCTGATGATTATTTGTATTTCAAGTTCATTACCAACAGATATTAATCCATACATATATTCACAAACTTATGAATATGATAATTATATGATTATCTTAATTTTATTATTATATCATCTTCTAAGGAAACCTCTTCATAAAACAATTACAGTATATTGTCTGTCTTTATCAACCATTCTCCGTCCCCAACTAGATATGAAATATAGATTGTTGTTGCTAAGTAATATGAATTTCAGAGGCTTTTGTGGGTTAACTAAAGGAAACTTTGTCCCTATTACCAAATGGTGAAAGTGGCAGAATTATCGTAATTGATACGTTTCTTATTTGCCATTAAAATTAATTATACAGTACAGTACTTAAATTTTTTGGTAGTGAACATCCTTGTAGTTTTCAGCATACTCTAGTATGTCACATTGAATACAATACTTTGTTAAACTAATTTACATGGCAATGCTATCCCTGGAAACACAAACCGTAACCGTCTCTATTTTCCGTTTGTTACAAGTTGTAATAAAGTTGTTACATCTTGGCTTAACGTGTTTATGATGTATTAGAACGTTGTTACAACTTGCTATATTGGTTGTTATAACTGGTTAGGAGGTGTTAAAACTTGTTCGAACATTGTACCAACGTCGTAGTTTCGGTGTGTGTTTGGCGGGATTGCTGTAATTTCATTGTTCCAATTGCCTAGTAGATCCCCCAAAAATACCAACTATTAAAGCTTATTAATAAAACTGCTTTTTGCAGTGCAATCTGCATCAGGCTGTGCAATGGCAACACCTGGATAGACGTGCATTCGAGTTGAAGGGATGTAAGGAAGTACTTTTTCCTTGTACAGGTGGTTGGCAAGTGAAATGCATTGAAAGAAAAGGTTGTTAAAGCCACAGCCACTTAAATTATGACCTGTGTATTCCATTTCTATGTGCCAAGGCAGTACTTTCCTGTGTGTAAGCAGTACTTTGTGAATGGAGAAGAAGTACTTGTGTGTGTGAGTGGATAAGCAGTAGTTTTGTGTGTGGGGGAGGGGGGGCACATGTATAGAAGAGACGTGTGTGGAGGGAGGATGAACCTGTATTACCTGATTTTGAATGGCCAGACTCAGAGGTGTTTGAAATTTTTAAAAGTAGCATTTGCCCTCTTCTGGACATCATTAACACCAATCCTCCTGCAATCTCTTGTCATTCTCTTCTGATCTATGATTCTTGGCTGTTAAAATAACCTTAACTACACAGGCTTCTCCTGGAATAGTGACATTAAGAAGTGAATTGGCCACTGCTCATTGTTAGTCAATTGTCTAATCTCCCTCATCTTGCACAACTGCTTTCTTCCTAAACCTGTTCCTCTCAGCTGTACTCACCAGTTATCCACTTTGCTGCTGCTTATTTTAGTGGGCATTGAAGGACTTTTTGTTGTTAATTCTCAATAAAATCTTTTCCAAAAATATTTAAAACTAGTCTCAAAATATTGAATGCTATTCTTTCTATTAGGAGGACTTTGGTGGCTTCCTGAAGCTATCTCACTGAGATGGCTCCCTGCTATGGATCACATCAATCACATGAGTCCATTTGGCTTACCAGTTACCAGAGTCTCTGGCCTCTGCACAGGACATATGTGAATGATGCTATATCTCCCACACTACCAATTAATACTGGCATTCCACAGGGTGGCATACTCGTCCACTCCTCTCTTAAATACATCAGTGACCTGGCAAATGCCATACAACATCTTAAGCGAATACCATTTTCTGATGACGTGACCTTCATTTTTTCAAATGCTAATCTAAGTATCCTAATAAAAGTAAATACTGACCTAAAAATAAAGTCCACATGAGGGTGACTATTAACACACCCTCGGTAGAATTGAATTACATTACGACTGTATAGGCGTAATGACTTTGCGCTTTCTCGTGATAATTCCCTCCCTCCCTCCCTCGTTATCCATTCATAGTATGAAATCCTGAGTTCAAACCCAAGACTGGACAGAAATGGTTGAAAAAGTTTCCTTTCACCTAGCAGTAATGCAACCCCCACAACAGTTGCTGAATTTCTGGCTACCTATTTACTGTTAAGTGAACAGAGGCAGTAGGTGAAAGGAAACGTGACCAGCCATTTCCATCCCGCCTGGGAATCAAACTTGGGATTCCTGGTTATGAGTTGAGAACAAAGTCAACTACTCAACGTCGTCAGCTCACAACCATGAGTTTGATTTCCGAGGTATGACAGATGGCTAATTAGCCAACGTTGTTAGAGATTCAGCTACTCGGAACAACTTCCTAGTAGCACAGGCTATGGTGAGCCCGTAGTGGACTTACCTGGCACAGGAGCGGTGCGTGATCGAATTAGCCAACGTTTCATTTCAGTGATGCCTCGTGTGATTAATAGGTACCCAGAATTTAGACTAGTGCTGTGGGTTACATCCTGGGGAAGGTTATTAAAGTTTGCAAGGATCGAGGACCTTGATATAAAAGCTAAAATGACTTCCTGTCTCTAACAATGGAAAACCAATTAGCTTATTTTGTCAATGGGCTGACGTACAATGACCACATTCCACCCTCCAAGGTATAGGTGCATGAGAGAACCGTCACTATATATAAGGTCTGTGATAAATTTAGTTTATATATTATATAGGCAACTACTGTATGTGCATATATTACCTGAGTTTACCCGAGAGCCACTAACATTAGTGACCTCGACGAGGACAGGAAACCGGCGGCTTGTCAACGATCCCCCTCCCCCCCTCCATTTGCCTTGATCTTTTCCAGCTATACTTTTAACAGTGCACTTACGATTCGGCGGGTAGGCGGTTCCATGGGTTTATAACCTTGTGGGTGAAAAGGCATCTGTTCTCAATCCTACATTGTGGCTTGTTGGGCTTAAAACCGTTGTTCCTTGTTTGCGTTACATCTGACCTTTTGAAGAATTTTCTAGGTCAACATCCTCCAAATTGTTCAATATTTTAAAAGTTTCAGTAAGATCTGCCCTGTCATGCCTAGTTTGTAGTGTTGTTAGCCCTGTGGCCCTCAACCGTTCCTGATACGCGAGTTGACTTAGCTCTGGAACTATTTTTGTTGCCCGGTGTTGCACTTTCTCCAGAGCAGCTGTATCCTTCTGAAGATAAGGTCTCTATGCATGGATACAGTAATCCAAATTGGGGCGCACCAGAGATTTATACAACTTTTCCTTAAAGTCAAAGGTACGCTTGATCATTTCGACTTCTTTGACTGCTGCCCCTAGCTGCTGTGCAACTTTAAATGAATGGTGGATTTTGACTGTTATTTGTTGTTGTTATAGATTCAGCTACTCGGAACAAGTTCCAAGTAGCACGGGCTACGGTGAGCCCGTAACTTACCTGGCACAGGAGCGGGGCAAGTAGCACGGGCTATGGTGAGCCCGTAGTGGACTTACCTGGCACAGGAGCGATACTGTGTGTGCCTAGAGAGGGAGATTTTGACTCTAAGGTCCCTTTCTTCATCAAATCTGCTGCAATGGAATGTTACTAATTTGATAGTTATGGCGTGGGTTGTTATGCCCCACATGCAAGGTCTTGCATTTGTTGATATTGAAAAGCATTTGCCAGTCATCTTCTGACCATTTGTGGAGTTCCTGCAGATCTCTTTGTAAGGCTTCAACAACATTATCATTTCCGACGTTGCCATAAATCTTTGTGTCATCTGCAAATTTGTGGATGTGGTTTGTAATATTCTCCTCTATGTCATTGATGTTTATGACAAAAAGGGTTGGCCCCAAAATGGACCCCTGTGGTACCCCCTCACCACATTATTTTCTTTGTTTTAAACATTCTAGTATTCTTCCATTTATTCCATGTACCTGTAATTTCTTGAAACTTTTTGAAAGCAATAAACTGGTCGGCTGACTGGCTAACCAAAAAAGAAAAGTTAAAAAAAAAAAGTTGAGGGGCGGGACTAAAGAGCCTAAGCTCAACCCCGACAAGTACAATTAGGTGCTCATAGATACGGAGGCTGATACAGAGAACCTGTGTCCAAAAACTAAAGTAATTAACAAACTGTAATGCAAATATATTTGTTCACATTTTGACTATTCAATTTCTTTCTTTATTATGCACCCCATACCCATCCCGTGGGCGGTGGTGTAAAGGATTACAGAGGCACATAATCGGTTCAGGAACTGAACCCTCTAGTTCGTTTAGCTAAGCAAATAACAATTTTATTATAATTATTGTTATAGTGTTGGTGGGGTGTAGCATGGGCTTGGTGTTGGTGGGGTGTAGCATGGGCGTGGTGTTCGTGGGGTGTAGCATGGGCGTGGTGTTGGTGGGGTGTAGCATGGGCGTGGTGTTGATGGGGTGTAGCATGGGCGTGGTGTTGGTGGGGTATAGCATGGGCGTGGTGTTGATGGGGTGTAGCATGGGCGTGGTGTTGGTGGGGTGTAGCATGGGCGTGGTGTTGGTGGGGTGTAGCATGGGCGTGGTGTTGATGGGGTGTAGCATGGGCGTGGTGTTGGTGGGGTATAGCATGGGCGTGGTGTTGGTGGGGTGTAGCATGGGCGTGGTGTTGGTGGGGTGTAGCATGGACGTGGTGTTGGTGGGGTGTAGCATGGGCGTGGTGTTGGTGGGGTGTAGCATGGGCGTTGTGTTGATGGGGTGTAGCATGGGCGTGGTGTTGGTGGGGTATAGCATGGGCGTGGTGTTGATGGGGTGTAGCATGGGCGTGGTGTTGGTGGGGTGTAGCATGGGCGTGGTGTTGGTGGGGTATAGCATGGGCGTGGTGTTGATGGGGTGTAGCATGGGCGTGGTGTTGGTAGGGTGTAGCATGGGCGTGGTGTTGGTGGGGTGTAGCATGGGCGTGGTGTTGATGGGGTGTAGCATGGGCGTGGTGTTGGTGGGGTGTAGCATGGGCGTGGTGTTGTTGGGGTGTAGCATGGGCGTGGTGTTGGTGGGGTGTAGCATGGGCGTGGTGTTGATGGGGTGTAGCATGGGCGTGGTGTTGGTAGGGTGTAGCATGGGCGTGGTGTTGATGGGGTGTAGCATGGGCGTGGTGTTGGTGGGGTGTAGCATGGGCGTGGTGTTGATGGGGTGTAGCATGGGCGTGGTGTTGATGGGGTGTAGCATGGGCGTGGTGTTGGTGGGGTGTAGCATGGGCGTGATGTTGGTGGGGTGTAGCATGGGCGTGGTGTTGGTGGGGTGTAGCATGGGCGTGATGTTGGTGGGGTGTAGCATGGGCGTGGTGTTGGTGGGGTGTAGCATGGGCGTGGTGTTGATGGGGTGTAGCATGGGCGTGGTGTTGATGGGGTGTAGCATGGGCGTGGTGTTGATGGGGTGTAGCATGGGCGTGGTGTTGATGGGGTGTAGCATGGGCGTGGTGTTGGTGGGGTGTAGCATGGGCGTGATGTTGGTGGGGTGTAGCATGGGCGTGGTGTTGGTGGGGTGTAGCATGGGCGTGATGTTGGTGGGGTGTAGCATGGGCGTGGTGTTGGTGGGGTGTAGCATGGGCGTGGTGTTGATGGGGTGTAGCATGGGCGTGGTGTTGATGGGGTGTAGCATGGGCGTGGTGTTGATGGGGTGTAGCATGGGCGTGATGTTGGTGGGGTGTGGGGGGGAGGGTCTCCACTGTGTCACCCCGCCCTCCCCTCACCCACAAGTTCCAATGATGCAAGATGGTGCTAAAAGTAGCGAATTTGGCTATTTTTTAAAGCCCTGTGATCTTAATTTTTTCGTCTCGCTACGAATTTTCTGTTCAACAAAGATGCTATATTTTGTAATCATCTATGAAAATTTATATTGTGGTTATTTATTGATAAACAACCTTGCTACAATGTACCTTTTTATCATACTTGATATGTTAGATTAAGGACCCCGAAACGCTATGCGCATTATGCGCACACAAATGGAATGCATTAAAATAGGTGATGAATTATAGCATTTTTTATTCAATACATTCAATAATAATAATAATAATAATAATAAAACCAATAAAATCGTGTAGTGTTACTCTATGTATTCAAATATATTACTTTGATATCACTCATTAAACAAAATTTGCCCCAACCGCTATGCGTACTAGTGGCTTTAGGTATTGTATGTACTACCTCTATCTTTAAATCTAACAGAATGTTTGTACTGTAACGCTGCAACTATGTATATACTGTTCCTAAATAAATTATTATTATTATTATAAAATATTGAGTTACTTTGATTACAAAATCGCTACTTTTAGTCCTTCAGTTCGCTACTTTTAGCAATTCCAATCTGGCAACACTGCGGCCACACTAACAACAACAACACGGCTCCAGCCACAAAGGAAGTTGCTCATAGTCTGCGTGTTGTGAACACTGACGATAACTGGAACACCAGGACGCCACCACCACCATCACGGCCCACAGTTGCTACACCTACCACAGGCTAAATCTACCACAGGCTACATCTACCACAGGCTACATCTACCACAGGCTACACCTTCCACAGGCTACACCTACCATAGTTTCTACACCTTCCACAGGCTACACCTTCCACAGGCTACATCTACCACAGGCTACATCTACCTCAGGCTACATCTACCACAGGCTACACCTTCCACAGGCTACACCTACCACGAAGGAGACGCCTCCACACACAACCGGTGAGAACTAAGCTACTCAAGATTCCACGAACCTCGTTTTCTGCTTGTATTTCTAAAGAAATATGTGTAGAATAATAAACCTCACATTGTTTTAGTTAGGAAAGCACTATTTGTCAAATATAGATACTGTTCTTAACACTTTCGCGCTCTCGGCGCTCAAAAAAAAACAATACCCCAGATGCTTTCGGCACTTCGCGCGTCTACGTGGTAAGACCGAAAAGTGTACACTCTTTTGACTGTCCTGACAATAATTGAAGGCGCACGTATTTAAATTTGGTATCACTGTGTTCGCAATGAAATTGTCTATAAGAGCATACCTATAAAATGCCGCCCAAGCATAAGGAGTATCAACACCAAATAAAAAACTATGCAGATCACTCGCCGAGAGCGCCAAACAGCAACAAAATGTTTCCACTCTCTTAATGGTTGCGAAGCCTACAGTTGTCCTACATCGCTAATTTTGGTATCATTGGAATCGCAATAAAATTCTCTACACGGACATATGCATATGAATGTTTAATATAGGTAATTGCCCACCCGCAAGAGTGTGTGAAGTGGAGAGTAGTTAGCCGCGAGCGCACTGGCGAAAACACAGGGGGGAAATCATGCTTGGAAAGTTTATACGTTTCCTGACCCTAGTTTTCTATGCACGTATTTCTTTTTTATACCAATGTGTTCGCAATAAAATTTTCTATAAGATGAACTGTATAATATTTGTACAAAGCATGTGTAAGAGAAGCGCCAAATATAGAACCACGTCGCTCAGTATGCGTTCGCGGCAGAAACGAACGCATTGTTTTCGTTCGTTTGATGTTTGTCATGTTTATACTTGTTGAAACATTTTATAATTTGTATGACAGTGATCGCAGTAAAATTCCCTACACAGACATATACATAACACATACAAATATTTTCCACGTGTTGGATATATCAACGGCTAAAGGGAACCCACTGCCACACGCTCGCCACACCCCCAAACATACTTTGTGTATTTTTTTTTTACTCATAGAAGTTTATGTGATATAATAGTCATTCTGGTACCAAAACATTCGCAAATAAATTCTCTACAAAACAAAAGTATCCCCATCCATTTCGGTTAAAAAATGGAATTTATAGAAATATTTTTTCGATGGACGAGAAAAGTAGGCTGTTATGCGGAATCGTAGGAGAAAACGGCGACGAGTTATCTCTAATATAAAGCGCGAAAGTGTTAAGAGATTCCCCCATTTTGCACCCACAAGATAACGTAAGCTTAAAAGCTTACGTTATCTTGTGGGTGCAAGGGTTGACATGTTAATCTTGTTTGATAAGCTGTTCACTTGAGACAGTTAAGCAAGTCTCAGCTGTGTCTGGGTACAAGTGACAGGATGAACAACCCAGCGGGTTTTCCTATTGGGGAGTGTTGTACATGCTGCTATGATGCATCACGCTATTGTGATTTGTGTGTAATGAAGTAAGGGTGAAGAGGGAGAACGGCCTATTGAATAGCTCGAGTGCATGGGGGGAGTTGTGTAAAACCCTGGTTTGTGCCTCGGAGAGGCTGCAGGATCCAGTAAGTTCAGTAGAACTTCGGTTTCAACTCTTTGACCATGTCGTAGCTTAGTCGATTAAGGGAGCGTCTGAGATGCTCCCGTACGTAGGTTTGAATCTTCATCACGGCCATTGTGGATTTGTTCATGGGATTCTATATAAACAACCTATGTACTTCAACATAGTTTCCTATTGTTGGGAACAGTAAAGCTATTAGGTTTATTTATTTTCCCCTATGCATTCTAAAATTTATTTATTTTCCTTTATTATTTATTCATTTATTTATTTAATTTACAAAATTTCCCAATTTATTTTTCCCTATACTGTACATTCCAAAAAATAGGGGGCAAGGGGAAATTTGCAAGCACCCTTGTTCCCAGGTGGACAATGTAGCTCACAGTTACCTGGCATTGGCTAATTTGTCCGGTAATTGCCAGAACATAAGCACACAGGATACACTGTGATGTCTGCCTAGAGATAAACATTTCATTAGGGTCGATGTTCTATTGTGGGTAAAGCCGAGTGCCACTATTATTATACTGTATATATTTTTTCGTGCTAGGATATCAAGAATGGAGACAGTCATTGAGCAAAATGGTGGACAGGAGGAAGTAACAAAGCCATTGTCAGAGGACCAACAACTTGGAGAAAATGGGCTTGATGGCATTGGAGGCGCAGAAGTGGGTGCCAATGGAGATTTAGCAGATGCTGGATCAAAGGGAACCACGTAAGATATAAGCTTCACAAAAAGTCATATATAAAATTGTGTGTGAATAAATGAATGAATGATCATAATAACAAGTTTAAGACTCGTGGTAAAATGTTTCATTGAGAATATGTTGACACATTATCAATTAAAATGTGGAAGTAAACCCTTAGATAACACAGAAGTTATGTTTATGGAAAATGGGATGTTATTTAAAATGCACAATGTAAGCTGGATAACATATGGGAAAAATAGTGTTACAATCTGGTATGACAAATTTGTTCTTTACAGTAATTCTGTACCCTGATTACAATGTTGTTTGCATAAGATTTTTTGTGTATAAAACTATCTTCTGTAAGTTAAATTACACAGTACAAGAAGAGAGCTATGATCATTGTGTCCTTTCTTCTTTATAAATGTAATCAAATTTAAACTTAAAACTAGCATTATTTTTGGCAGACAACTTTCTTTTGAACATTTTACCGAAGAATGACATTGGTGCTTATCTATCAGTGACTACAAGGGAGTGAGATCTAGCTCTTTATGGCCTGTCTCATAGCTGGTATGCCAGTTGCCCCTTTCAGTGCTGTAGTAATATTTTCATCGTGTTTTCTTTTTAAAGTTGTGGCTGGAATTAGCTTCAATAACCTCTTCAAAGCATTCCACTTTCCTACCACCCATTCAGGGATCAAGAACTTCCTTATATCTCTCTGACACAACTGCATATCCAGTTTTCACCAATGTTTCCTTGTCTTACTTCTTTCTAATTTAAATAGGCTTCTTTTATCTACTTTTATCTATTCCCCTCAAGATCTTACATGTCATTTACCTGTCGATGATTCCAAGAATTAACGTCCCTGCAGCCCGGTCTCTGACCAGACCTCCTGGTTGGTGGTCTGGTCAACCAGGCTGTGTGATGTGGCTGCTTGCAGCCTGATGTATGAGTCACAGCCTGGTTGATCAGGTATCCTTAAAAGGTGTTTGTCAAGTTCTCTTTTGAGCACTGTGAGAGGTCAATCAATTATGCCCTGTATGTATAAAGGAAGTGTTGAAAAGTCTTGGGCCTTTGATGTTGATTGAGTTCTTTCAGCTTGCCTCTGCTTTTCAATGGGGCTATTTTGCACATCCTATCATGCCTTGTGGTATTATTTCTGTGTGCAGAATTGGAACAAGTCCTTCTAGTATTTTCCATGTGTAAATTATTATAAAAATCTCCCACCTTGGTTCTAGGGAATAAAAGATTTAAAATTTGTAAGTGGTCCCAGTATGGATTCTAGCAGTTAAAGATCTTTACACATTCTCCCAGTCTACAATTTCTCCAGCTTTGAATGGGTTATTAGTGTACAATAATATTCCACACTAGAGAGCACTCGTGCCTTAAAAGTATCGTCATTAAACTTTAGAAATGTTTGTCTAACGTTTTCACACATTTCCTTTTCATTATCCGTAAATCTGTTTCCCACTTTCAATTTATGAATTTTTACCTTTACCTGCACTTTACTTTTAATGAATTTATAGAATAAGTCTGATTTTGTTTTACATTTGCTCACAACAACTCTTGTACTCACTACATTTTCCTTATTTATATAGTGCTCCAACCACCATCCTTTTCAAATCATTTGGCACAGTGCCAGTTTACCCATGCTTTCTGGTATAATCTCCACACCAACTACATTTTTTTCTGTGTATTTAACAATTTTTGCACTCAGGTTTATTATCCTGCAAACAATGAGATGCTTACTGATTGTAGTCACATTATTGTAGTCATGTTTATAAACCTAATATTGACTTTTCAGGGCAGTAAATGTATCAAGAATAGCTAGAATGCCCGTGGAACGCGAAGCTATGCGATACAATGGGAATCACCGTCAACGTGGTCACTGTTTGGTATTTAATCACCGAATATTTGACCGCCATACTGGTCTTGGGGTAAGTAATTGTAGCACTATAGCAAGAATGATGAAGTCTTTAAAAGGTTTCATGTGTTGATTGATAGATAGATATCATTACCTCCTTGATAAATTGAAGGGGAACTTATCTCTTATCCCAATTCAGTTCATACACACTGGGGTTAGAGTAAGGATTTTTCAAGACTGATTATTATACTGTATTATAAGAGTGCTTCCTCGTTATTCACTACACTCACTACATTTATTTTCAAAGTATATTAAAACATAGGCCTCCAATTTTTAAACAAAAATGTATACTGTATTTCCATCAAACATAATCTGTAATCATTTGCTTGGCACTGTCATCCATAGTACCCCAGGTTTTTATTTTTTTATCTGGGATTGGGTGGTTATAAATAGGAGCTGCCTCGTATGGACCAATAGGCTTTCTGCAGTTGCCTTTGTTCTTATGTTCTTATCAGTCTGTGTATATGATCATTTTTCCATGGTTTGTTGACTACGATTGCTTTTATTCTTTTATATCTGTTATCTAGTTATTCTTTTATATCTATTATTAAGAGTTCGACATTATCCTATGGTTTGAGACTTGCCTCTGAAACGAATCTTGTAATATTTAAATTTACTTTATATCTAGATTTTAATTTCGACTGTTATCCAATGCTTCGTTGATTCAAAGTATCTGCGGCACTTGGTTGAACAGACATATGGTCTATATTACTTATTATCCTTTACTGTAGCAATGTAGCTTTTGCTGTTTCATTCACTCCAGAGTTTAAGTTGTAGGTGGGAGTGTTAAGTTGACAGTGTCCCACCAGCATGCTACCGATCATTTGCTTCCGAGCTGGTTGTGGTCTGGTTGCAGTTTTGCTGTTAACGTGTGCAGTATGTTTGGCTCTGTTGCTCCTACCACACACGCGTAACTCTGTGTGATAACCTGATGTAGCATGCCTAACTATACATCTTTCATATCTGCATTTGTTTATTATGTGAAAGTCTTGAGAGGAAATTTGGGATCATTTTACAAGCTTAATGGTTGTGCAAGTTTTGGCAGAACAGGCATTTCCTTGCAGGAGATTCATCCGGGGTGACCATTGATAGTAATATCTCGACGAATTTGTTCTCTGCTGATTCGGCCTCAGGATATATGTCTTTGTTAACTATTCACCAAAATTCTGAAGGTTGTCCAGGCTTGTATTTAGAATATTATCCATATGCATTGTTAGCAGTCCATCTCCTTACATAATTTAGTAAATGCAACTGACTTGCAAGCTTTTAAATGCTAGACAACTATATTACTAAGTTGATGAATTAGCCAGCCTCATCAGTTTTAGCATAATATTCTAAGCCTTTAAGTTGAAATCAATCTCAGTTTTATAAAGCTAGAGATCTTTATTATTATTATTATTATTATTATTATTATTATTCTTTGGGCTTTAGTATCGAATAATATATAAACTGGCCTTGTCTTAAATCTGATTTGTATCACCAAAGGGATTTTTAAACCAAGTTGATTGCATGATTCCTATTAGCTGGCAATTGTTTACCTGTATAATCCCCTTGCATGAGGGGGTTCAAGTGACATTACATTCAGTTTATGTCTGCACTACCAGAAGTGAATACTGTAAAGCTGTATTGGTGGCTATTGCATTGACAATGATCATTGTTGTAATGTGAGACAGGTGTCATTCTCATCACAGAAACTGCAATGCAGTTCACAATTCACATTTGACATTGTAAGCAAAACACAGTGAGTGGGATGTGAACAAGAGGACACAGGTGGAAACTTAGTACCTATGTGAGCCACAGAGACATTAGAAATCATTTTTTTCACTGTCAGTAGTTGCAGTAACAAATGGAATGCATTACAAAGTGATGTGGGCAGACTTCATACCCAGTTTCAAATATAGACATAATAGAGCCTAATAGGCTGAGGAAGCTGTTCACTAGTTGACTGTTAGAGAACAAAAATCTAAAGCTCAACCCCTACAAGCACAACTAGGTGAGCTCAACCCCTACAAGCACAACCCCTACAAGCACAACTAGGTGAGCTCAACCCCTACAAGCACAACCCCTACAAGCACAACCCCTACAAGCACAACCCCTACAAGCACAACCCCTACAAGCACAACCCCTACAAGCTCAACCCCTACAAGCACAACCCCTACAAGCACAACCCCTACAAGCACAACCCGTACAAGCACAACCCCTACAAGCACAACTAGGTGAGCTCAACCCCTACAAGCACAACCCCTACAAGCACAACCCCTACAAGCACAACCCCTACAAGCACAACCCCTACAAGCACAACCCCTACAAGCACAACCCCTACAAGCACAACCCCTACAAGCACAACCCCTACAAGCTCAACCCCTACAAGCACAACCCCTACAAGCACAACCCCTACAAGCACAACCCCTACAAGCACAACCCCTACAAGCACAACCCCTACAAGCACAACCCCTACAAGCACAACTAGGTGAGCACATGTGCTCACCTAGCTCCACCACCACCACCTTCTTACATTTGAAGAATTTTGGTGGTGGAGGCCAAAACAGTCAGTAATTTCAAAGCGTTGTATGGCAAAGAGTACTGGGAAGATGGGACACCATGAGCATAGCTCTCATCCTGTATCTACACATTATTCATGTTTATTATTTCAAGATATGGACATTATGCTGTCATATATTGCATGTATATTGTATGTGTAAGCTTTCTCTACTAATAAAAGTTCATTGTTTACGGTGAATATTAATAATTTTATAATTACACTTTTACTTTGCAGGAGCGGAATGGCACTGATAAAGACCGTGACCAAGTTCAGAATTTATTTGAAAAATTGGGCTTCAAAGTGAAAGTCTGTAATAATTTTAGCGTGGCCGAGATAAAAGTAGTAATTCAGGACAGTAAGTACTGTATATTTTACTGTATATAATAATGATCATGAAACATTTATTACATTAGCTAATCTTAACATATAGGATAGCAGGGATTGATTTAGGATACAATAATTACATAGAGATATTGTTATCACCACCATCACCATAACCCCAACCCTGTTTTCTATTTTAATGCGGCTGAACCCCTCTTATTTTATGCATGCTAAATGCAGAGGAAACCAAGGTCTTTTATTTACATTATTTTGTTTTCTATAAATAAATGTCCAATGACTCATGTTGAGACATCCCAATTGATAGGGGTACAGTGAAAGGGTTAAACTGTCTCTACATTCGCTGTTAGCAGTCTTCTTTGATCTTTCACATACATCTTTTAAAGTGTCAACTAATCTTTATACATGTGAGCAACGGTCTCACTTCTTACAGGTCGATATTCAATCCCTGTGACCATCCAAGTGGTTGGGCACCATTCCTTTCCTCCGTCCTATCCTAAATCCTTATCCTCATATTCCTTCCTTGTGCTGTATAGTCATGATGACTTGGTGCTGTTTCCTTATAATTACATTGCCAGGAGAACTGCTTCTGTTCAAATTATGCATTAAATTAACCCCCTATGCTAGTATTCTCGGTCTGTCTAAAAGACAGTAGAAATTAAGGACAGTTTACCAGAGCAGAAAATCAAAGCCATACCAGGCTGCAGTGAGGAGGTGAAACCATTCAGGAACTGAGGATCACATGGTGAAGTTGGGGTCCAAACACCTACCTGACAGAAAACAGACTAAATGAATTCAAAATCTCAAGGACCCTAACAACAGCTGACAAGGAAAGCCATTGAATACTGAAACAGGGACTGGACAGGGTAGGCCAGCTTGCAAAGCATCTGAAACAATTACTGTACAGTATTATGACAGGAAAAATTGCTTTCCTGCGCTTAACTCTTTGGTTTGCTCCTTGAGAAGCAGTATGATTTGCAATGGTACGTATCTCTGGTGGGTCAAAAGATTCACCATGAGCTTGATGTGTTCAGCATGTCCTTGACATGCCAGTGAGTTAAACACATTGCTACTGAAGTTTTACTCAAAAAATGGCATTTGTTAAACTTAACGCTCTAATTTTCTATGAGACTTAGTATACCTGTTGCCCATGATGCAGCCAGAAGTATAATATTTCTGATGTTAACGTCAAAATAATTATCTTTGTTTATACTTCCAATGTTTAATGTAGATGCTCCTCATTAAATTTACTTTTATACTCCTGTTTTCAGTGGCTTTTGGTACTGACCATACAGACTGTGATATGCTGGTTGTGGTGTTTATGTCACATGGTGAGCAAGATATCTTGTGGGGTAGAGATGGCCATATCAAAGCCGATTTTCTTTTTGAGAGCTTTCAAGGCGATCAGTGTAAATCTCTCGCTGGAAAACCCAAGTTGTTTTTCATCCAGGTAAGGCTCCCATGTATAAAGCAGTCTTGTATAATAAACATTAACCCCACATATTATAAGTAGGGGAAATTTGTGGTTTCAGACTATCCTGGACCATTATCAAATTGGCTTGTGGTGGCTCACGGTGCTCTGAAATCTAACCTTTTCCTGTTGTTTATTATGTTTGTATTTATTCTAACCATGTTATTGGAACTTTTATTTTTACTATTTATATACTGTATGCATTTTAATATGTTTATATTAGTGCTTCCTGCTGGATATTCTTAGGTACCATTAATTATTATGCCTCTTGATGTTCTTGAACTAGTTTCCTATTCCTTACTTTATTCATGAGCAACCTTGTAAGACTATAGGAACTGTACTGTACATTAAAAAGTTTCTTTGCCTCCTTTCATTATAGTGTTCATTTCTTCCATTCTTGTCCCTCCCACTCATTAGCACCTCTTATTTCACCTTCCATACTCCCATTTTTATTTAACACCAATTGTAGCCAAGACATTAAATATTCACTGCATCTATTAGTAACATGATCCAGATTTATCAACACTCTTCCCCTTATGTCAGCCTTCAGATTGTAGCTGTTGACCAATCACAGGCAAATAGGCCTCTGATGTCATAGCCAAAGCACTGCGCATGCACGCCAACACCTCATTTGATAAGAGATTATAGCAGGGAGGACCTTGACTTGTGAGATCTGTATCTCCTACAATAAAGAAGTCATAGAAGCAGCCTGGTGTATTACTACTGTTCCTAGTAAGCACAAAAGACAAGCGCTCACACATCTATGACAGCAAAAAATGTTGTAATACATTCATTGTTTACTTTCCCCTTATCTTCATACAACTACTGTACCTTTAACCTTTTTGTAAAATAATTTATTACAAAATCTTCACTCAACATTTCCCCCTTAAGATTACTCTTCTTATCCTTTTTAATCCCTAATAAATTTCCTTACAATTTTTTTACACTTATTATATTCCATCTTTCTTCTGTCTCATATTATCTGATAAATTTTTCTGTGGCATATTTTTTTTTTTTTACATGTATCACTTGTCATCTCAATATTATCTTTGACATTTTCACTTAACCATGCAGATCTCTTCCCTAATATACTGTACCCAGTACAGTTTGTCCATTTTGTATTCACTTACTCAGTCATTTCCCATTACATAGCCTAATAATTTACCTTTTCAGTCTTAAAAGTTTATCCTTTCTTTCAGTTTCCAACTTCCTAACATTAAGACATGTTCTTATGTAACTGTTTCATGTGGCCATCAGACTGTGAGAGAGGAAGAGTTCTGTATCATATGGACTGTAGGTATGTAGAGAACCACAAACATAATTAAAATAAAAAATTTCTCCTAAATTCTTCATATTCGTATCTTTGCCATGGTGTTTTGTAGGCATGTCGTGGTGAGGGTCTAGATGCTGGTGTGACACTGGTGCGCGCTCGGCCTAGTGATGAGACCGACTCTGGTTACCTGTCCTACAAAATTCCAGAAACGGCTGACTTTCTAATTTGCTGGTCCACCGTACCAGGTAAGTTACGCATAATTGTACGGACCAGCTATCCTTCAGGTCATGAGAGCTTTGTGCCTAGGTGTCTTCTATATGGCAAGAAATATATGGAATATAATATCTAGACTATTTTCTGAAGAAAGTGTGTTAGTAAGGTTTATGTAGGATTTTACAAAATATTTTGGATATGATTCCTTGCTGGGAAAATTATTAAAAATGTTGACGATGTGATGTGTTAGGTAGTATGTGTGTGAGAACAGTGGAAGATGGGGTTGAGCCCTGGGCAATGAAGGATGTCCGGCCACTGGTTCTTAACTGTTTGTTCACTCGGCAATAATTGGGAATCTGGTGTAAACTGATCGGTGGATTGTGTTCCACTGAAAACTGGTAGGGTAAAGCTTTAAGATGAGCCGTGGGAAGGGGGAGCTATTAGCCTTTTAGCATGAATTGGAAATTTTCTGCACTTGTTCCCTCATGTATAAAAAATAAAAAATATTATCTGACACTGTAAAAGCAGTTCTTCACTTCAGCTGTCTATGCCGATTGAGTCAATGCATGATATCAGTTAGGAGTGCTCTGTGCTTAGATGGAGATACTGGAAGACAGTAAAAGTGAGGCAAAAGGGAGTTAAAAATGGAAGGTATGAATAAGGTTTAAGGTTAAAGTGAGAAAGTATGTGGTCATAAATAGTGGGAAAGTGTGTGCATGGATAGGAATACTTAGCCAAGCTTCTGAAATTACTGGGGAAATGTTTGTCTGAGGAGCACTAAATCAGGCCTATTCTATAAATGTGAATTTAACTTTTTTCAAACCTTGAGTAATTTCAGGTCATTTTTCATGGCGTAACACCACCAACGGATCCTGGTTCATACAGTCGTTGGTTCATGTCTTGAGCACGGAATACACCCATGAAGATTTGCTGTCGATGATGATAAATGTCAATAGATACATGATTGTTAACTTTGAATCCAACTGCCCTTGTGAGTATTTCCTTTAGATTGAGTATATATGCTAAATAGGAATATGCCTAATTAAATCATACCAATTTATTTCTATTTTGGCAATTTGCCATAAAACTAAATATCTGTACCACAGTAAAATAAAAATTAATTTGTGATTTGTTGCAAGTAATGGTTACATTTCTGAGCGTAAGCCACTTGATTATTCCCATATGTAAGCTTCCAATTCTCCAAGGACATCGTGGAAGCCAAACTGAGTCAAACCTTCTCCCAACACCAGTTTAGCAGGAATCTTTTCTAAACACCCTTGCTTCAGCCTTATGGAAAATTGCTAATCCAGCCTAGAGTGACCATCAGGAGCTCTCAGCCCACTCAAAACGTCTTTCAAACAATAGTCTATGCTATCCAACACTAGATGGCAGAACCAGTTACGTACACAAGCAGCCATTACTCACCTCACACTTGTCCCAGAGTTTTAACTGAGATGGCCTTCAGGTCAGCAAAAGACATCTTTGTAAGATATGTGGGAGTTGATTCATTCCAAAACATTCTGTGGCTTGTGCTGTGAACCTATGCTTCACAGATACTTCACGATTGTGTGGGTTCATTATTTTTACCAGTCTCTTGAACTTTTACCAAAACAGTATTGGCATATTATTTTTGAGGTAATCCAGTTGGGGTTTTTTCTTCCTCTTTGAGTTGACCCTAACTCTCTCAGGGCCTAGTGATCATGACCCTGTTCACAGATGTTTGAGTTAAATGCATTCATGATTCATTTAAACTTGTGGGTCTTGATTGTTAGTGTTCTGGTCTGTTTTTCAGTAATGAGTGTACCCTCTCCTTTTCCTTTTTTGTGGTAGACAAGGTTAGGATATGACACGCCGAGGATATGAGTTATAATCTTGTCACGCCTTTAGACTTTGTTCCTGAGACAATTTCTATTACCAGTGGCAGGAGTGGTGCTCATGCATAACACCATGACTGTGGCAGGAGTGGTGGTTAAGCATGGCACCATGACTGGCAGGACCAGTGGTCAAGTAACCAGCCTCTGGTAGCAACAGAATAGCTGAATTGAGAAGGGTATTTTCACAGGCTCAAAGCATATATTTTGGCGTGTGAAAAATGTTGATAAAGGAGGTGTTGACTTGGAACACCTCCTGGTGTTCCAAGTCAAACTTAAATGGCTGAATATATAAAGAGCATCAATCATTTATATTATTGTAGTTAAAAACATTCTCTACATTTTTAGTTATTTCTATATGCTGTACAGTATTGCTAAAAGTATAAGTATTTAGCACATTACCAGTAATTATATATATATATAGCCTAGATAGAAAAACAAGGATCTTGGCAGAGCTTGGCAAACTGTTGAATACTTTGTAATTCTTTCTTAAAATTTGTATTAGCTATATATCTAACAACCAAGCAGGTTTTCATTTGCATTATAAATGTCATATGATGCATGTACATAACAGCATAGGTAAATAATGAGAATTTGTCGAACATATTTTATGTACAGTGAATATATCCCACATTCACTGCAAGACATGGTTGGTGTTTATGATAGATATGTTACCGCAGATTCTTTTTTCAGAGGATTGAATATTGGTAGATCTATAAAGAGTTTTAATGAATCTCTTGTTAGGTAGCTGTTGACTATCCACTTGAGGAAAGATATTTAGGGATTCATGAAAGATCTAAAGTGGGCAAAAATCAACAAGCATCATTATAATCTTGAGCAACGATTGTGAGACTAATCTCATTAGACCTCATAGTAAATGGAGGAACAGCAGCTGCGTGTTCTGGACGGCAATCTTCACAATTTGGAAATAACGTTATGCTTTGATAATTTAGATATTGGGTAATTATTCATAATTATGAGCAAATCTTCCCATCCAACCTTCATAAAGGAGAAGTTTCCCAATCTTTTCAGTTATAGATGGATGGTGTGCAGATGGTATCATACCAGTCCTTGTATAAGGTACTGTATTGACACACGTGTGAGTACAGTATAGTTCTTGATATTCCTCAAATTATGTTGCTCAGTTTGTGTTCCCAGTTGAGCATGATGACACCAATCAAAATAATTATATTTTGATCAGGATGGTTTTCATATTAGGAGAAAGGACAGATATTAAATAGATTTTTCTCCCATACTCATATTGATCAGTTTACTTTTCCCTAGCTATGAAATTAAGTTGAAAATAAAAAAAAAATCGGACAGCTTTGCATGGTTAAATTACATGTGTTTCCCATTCTTTGTATAACAGGATTTCCATGCTGAATTTGAATTTAGTTTGCATGGTATGTCTTCTAAAGCAGCATTTGCCGCAGATGAAAGAAAAAACCATGATAAGAAAACTCATTTGATTTGGCTTCGTGTGACGTCTTTGGTCGCTTTGATTGCATGTAGTTGGGTTATTGCAGCGCTTTCTCTGACATTTTTTGTTGTACGCCGGAAGTTGGTGTCTTGTATTTGTTATTGCCTTATACGCTGTCACAAACAAAACCTATAAATTATATGAAACTTATTAAAGAACTCTTTCAAAGAAAGAGGTCCAGGGATGGTTCTGGATAATAAATTGTCACCAGAGGACCACATATTTCACATTGTCTGGGACAGGAAGCGTTTACTTAGGCCTATTGAGATTCCCTAGGCCAGGGATGGCAAACTAAATTTGCTAGCATGTGGCATTTACCCGCCAAACACACACCGAAACTGCGACGTTGGTACAATGTTCGAACAAGTTTTAACATCACCTAACCAATATACCAAGTTGTAACAACGTTCTAATACGTCATAAGCACGTTAAGCCAAGATGTAACAACTTTATTACAAATTGTAACAAGCAGAAAATAGAGACAGTTTCGGTTTGTGTTTCCAGGGTAGTGCCAAATGAAGTAGCAAATGATTTTTTTTACAAACCTAGAGCAGTAAGAAGTGTTCACAGCCATCTCGTGCATGACTTGAACACCAAATTACAGGGATCTGCCAAAAGACAAATAAGCAAGAGGACTACATTTTCCTTACATAGGGAAGAGACTTATCAGGGCAAAGCACCAAGCCATTACGAATATATAGTACTGGAAAAGGGTCAGGATAAGGATTAGGGATGGGAATGGGGGAAAGGAATGGTGCCCAACCACTTGGACGGTCGGGGATTGAACGCCGACCTGCAAGAAGCGAGACCGTCACTCTGTCACTCTACAGTCCAGACCAAGTGATTGGTTTTTCTTTACACAGTTCATTATTATTTTACTAACTTATAAATTTCACTTCTTGGGAATTATAAATTTCAGTTTACTAATTTATAAATTTATCTTGGGAAAGAGAAGGTGCAAGAGGGAAGTAGTGGAGGCAAATTTCCTATTTTTATATTCAACTATATATACAGTATTTGATAAAATGCAACGAGTTAAGAGAATCATTGCAACAGTTGATTAATGGTTAAGAGATGTGGTTCAGAAGCTGTTGCTGGCTCTCTTCAAATAAAATTAGGTAACACACATTCACAAACACTGCTCCATGTGTTTAACCCTTAAACTACTTGTGTAATTCTCAAATGTTAGACCCATGATGCTCATGTCGCTTGTGAACGACTTAACATGTTTCTTAATATTCACAGTTGTTGAATATTCTATGTAGTTGTCATTCAGTACTGGGAGACCTCTGGCAATTGGTTGCCATACTGAGGAAGAATCCTAAAAGCCTTAGCTATCGTCCTTGACATTATTACAAAATTTGGCATTTGGCAAATATTTAAAGGGAAACTCCATGCATCATCTTGCTTCCTAATTGATAATACTGTAAATCTCATCAAACTGTGTTGATTTTGTATTTCTTATATTTTGAAACAATTATGCAATTATATTGCTTTACATTTGTTTCTGCAGCTCAGCCCCACATGCACGGAAAGAAACAGGCAGCCAGTATTGTCGCTACTTTGATGCGCAAGGTATACCTCACTCCCAAGTATTGACAACGTGACGAGTGTAGACGTTCACAACGTTCATTACGGATGGCACTGGAGGCACCAATAGCCTCGGAAGAACACCTTGAAATTTCTGAACATCCAGATCCTCGTGTATCCTTAAGGTCTCAAATAGGTAAGTTCTTGTGCTGGCCAGTAAAACTCAAGAAGAAACCCCTTAAATTCTCTAACATAAGAAAAGCAAAGCAAAACAAGCCATTGTGGAAGTTTAATCGGAGTTTAGAAACCCCAGACTAGCAGGAGATCAATTAGTTTGAAAAGTCCAACAAATAATGAGCCAAAGTCTACATTTACTGAAATACTGCATTTATATCCTGAGTCATTGTTGCTAATTGCTCTGTGAAAATTATACTTTTTAAAAAAACAAATTTAAATAGGAAAATTAGTGTGTTTTTCAATAGTGTGTGTTCTTAAAAGATAATACCAAGGATTAAATTTGAATAATTGTCTTTTAATAATATCTAATATAACTGAAGTCAGTAATTTTATCTGTCAATTTTTAACTTGAAGTGTACAAAGAAATCTGCAGGTACCTTGTAAAGTCTGTCATTTTGATACACATGAACTTTATCAGGTAGAAATGTCTTTCATTGCCATGAGTGATAACCTTATCATATAGAAATGTCTTTCATTATTGTGACTTAGAAGAAGTTAGATTAGAAAATTTTAGGAACATGACACACCTCTGTTGCACTGTTAGCATGCTTTCACCTCTTAGTATCATTAACAGATGACTTGCTTTATGCATTTATTCACTGATTTCAGGTAAATCTGTGTAGACAATAGATCCACTTGCATTACCTAAAATAGCCTTTAAACAGTGTTAGTGTGTTGTTGTCACAGAAAATGTATGTGTTAAAATATGCACATTGGACGTGCCATACGGGATATGGTAGTTGTGCAGTTAACTCCACGGTACAAGTGGTTCCACAATGCCTAAGTCTTTCATGTGTGATTTTGATTGTGCCAGTGATTGTACATTGTGACTTGACTGTGATTGGATTTGATAATTACACATTATTTAATAGGAAGAATATCTTGAAATAATAATTTAACGAGCTGTTCTTTAAGTAGCGATTCATGATCTGAATGTTTAAGCTTAATTGTAAAAACAAAGATATGTAATGTTTTTTGCCAGTAGGTATGCCCTCCATGAGTAACATTGATACAAAATAATGAATGTGATTACATATTATATTGAATGACAGATATTTCCACATCTTTCCTTATCTCAAGACATATTACTTGTACAAAGACTTGTAGGCAATTAGAAGCTTGCCATTAATATCAACATATTTTGCACACTGAATATGAGTCCTTTTATCATGTTTGTTGTATTTTATAATATATAATGATAATCTGAATGTAAATTGCAATGCATTAATCATAAATATTGTGTATAATTTTCAATAGATCACAAAATTACTTGTTCTTATATTTAAATTCAGTACATACTTTATTTAGTATAGCTTACAAATGGGCCAATCAGATGCTGAAGTAGAGACCCTACTGTTATCTGTGTTTAGTGAACATCTGTTCAGTAGTTAGACTTTTGATTAGAAATCCTTTATTAATGTATAGTTATATAAGAATTTAATGTTTTGGAAATATATACACTTGAGTGTGCTCATCACCTCTGAAGCCCACACGCAGGTAAAATGAGTGAGTGACCGACTCCTTTGCTTGCTTTTGAAACTACTTATTAAAACTGGGTACATTTTGGTCCCTTAAACCAACCCAGGCAAGGATGGGGAAGTTCGCAAATATGTCAAACAATGTTCTTGAATTATGAGCCGTTTGCCCATTTGGTTACAGTTGTATTAATTGGCAAGTTTTATGAACATGGTGGAGGACTACACTAAATCTGTTCATTATATATTAGTATGTTATTTTGTTACTATGTTTTTGTTGTGAATAGTTTTCATATACAATATTTGAATACTTTAATGTTTATTTTTTTAGAAACACAATTTTCTCTTGTACTGTATGTCTGAGTATATAAAGTAACTATACAAAAAGCTGGTTATAGGATTCTACAATTAGTATATAGGAAATTTCCTGGAACATTTGACCAGCAATACTTTGAAATACTGTACTGAACATGGGAAAATAATAAATTGATATTAATACTGATATTTATCATCTCCATACCTCGTAAATATCAAGCCATTTTGTTCTGAAATATTTGTTTGTACGTGTACAATTTTGTTTCTAGAAATCTTAAACAATTTGATTATCATATATCAACTAAATTAATTTGAAATGTTGCAGACTACTGTACACCTTTAAACCATTGATAGGAATATTTAAATATGGGATAATGAAGGCTCTGATTGTTTTTCAAATAAATAATAATTAATATGCAAGTTTTGACGTGCTGCTGTCATTCAGTACTGTACGTGGAAAAATTGCATAGTACGTATTGTTGAAATTAATAATTGTGTTTGTATTTATAGGTTATTCTTATTATATTCAGTTATATGCATTATATTGTGTTTTTTATACTATAAAGTGTATAAGCCTCAAAGGCTGTGTGTGAAAAGAGTTTGAGGACTTGGAAGTATGTCACCATTAAAGCAAAATACATACATCTGGTTATACGAGTTCCTCTTTGCATTTTTATATATTGCTCAAAGTTTCTCCATGATTTTTTTTTATTGTGGATAAATGTCTTGTTTCATAAAGCATTTAGATACTGTTGAACTAGGCATGTGTCCAGGGGAGTTCTCAATAATATGAGTAGTTCAGACATAACTCTATATTGTACAGTTTTGTGTTCCATCTTGTGTATGGAGCTGTTGCAAATTAACTTCTTGCATGGCAGAAATTTCTGCTTTCTAAGAAGTACAGTATTCTTTTATCCAAGTATTTGGTTTATTTTTCTAACTTCAGAAAGAAAATATAAGACATTGTAAGTCTTGTACTCTATTATGGTATTTAGTATTTATACAAAATTGGTTGGATAAATAATTTCTTCTGATCAGGAGATTAATATATTTTTGATAATCCTTCCATAAATACGCAACTTTATTTGGACCCAATTGTCTGTTATTATTTGGTTTCCTAGGAGTGGTTTTTGTGACTCATTGCCTTTCTGGTACAATGCCATCTCTTTCCAGTTGTGAAAGAAGAGAATGGTCCTCGACTTGTAAAGGTAGGCCAACCTCATCCTTTCTCCAACTTTATGCTTTATCACCCTGTCTATTGGTCAGTGGGTGTTGCCTCAAGGGAGATGGGTTCTCTCTCTGTCTCCAGGATGCCTATTGTTATCAGTACCAATATAGGTGGAGTTCAGGGGTCTTTTGGGGGGTTTTGTTTCGAGAACATGAGTTTCCACTTTGCAAATCTCCCCATCAGTTCAAATCTCGCTCTGTGACTTTTACTTTTCTTACCAGGGTGATTCTCCAGCCCGTCCTCTGAGGGTTTCCCAACGTCAAAAAAAACGGTCAATTTAAGGTGTCCTCTTCTAACCTACCAGAGGACCAAAAGTAGAAAACGGGACAGTATGTCACTTTTGCGAGCCGCTTCCACTTTCTAGTATGACAATTTTTGGTGTTAAGTAACACATACCAGCGAAAAGGGATGTTCTTTGTAGGAGGACAGGTAGGAGTCTTCATGTATGTTAGCCTCTGGGCATGCATTTTTGGCCTTCCTCAACAGAAACCTGATAAAAGTTTGGGCTTCATTTCAAATTGACTTGAAAATTGTGTATAAACAAAACACGTCGAGTCTTTCATTATTGAGGAGTGTAACCCAGTGGCCAAAAAAATTGGTCATTGTTTTTTCAAGCTACAGAGTACTGGTATTTACTTTCAAGTATCTCTTTTGTTCTCTGCATCATTGCAACAGAATCATAAAATGTGCTCAAGGTCATTAGAAACTAAAAACATTCAAAACTAGTGTACAGTACATGTAATGACCAGGCAGGCTTTACAGGAGCATTGGAAAAACAGAAGTCGGAAGGCTTAGAGTTGTATTAAGAGACAAGGTGAAAGATCAAACCAAACCCCAGCTCTATTTCTTGTCATGTCTACTCATAATGTACTGTACAGTACAGTATCTAAATTGGGGTAGGAGGCATTTTTTTATTTTGAGAATATTTGCAATAGAGATAATATAAATATTTGTGATTTCTATAGACATTCCTGGTATAGGTATATACAGTACATCATTATACTATTGTTTACTATCAAAATATATCTTGTTTACTTTCACACCCATTATTCTTGAAAAAATGTGTAAATTGTAAATTGACACTCAAATTTGGGGATGATTTTGCCTATTATTATTTTCATTTGATATTAATATTCAGTATTATAAATATATTTTGTTGGGATATGAATAAAGTTAATACAGTAATGTACAGTGGAAATGGATTAATGTTTAATAATCTAGCCTTACGATATGAACTCTCGGTTGCTTATCATTTTTTGATAAATAGGCTGATTTGATAAATAGGTTAACATTTTGTATTACAAAAATAAATTATAAAATTTGTCACAATACATGGTGAAATCCAGGTAACACACATTGGTAAAACATCAAATTGTATTGAAATGTCAACCAAAAATATGTATACTGTATTTTAGTAATACTATACATGATTCCCATTCATGAACATGCTGTTAATAGTGCCCTCCCAAAAAAGTAATTATCAAAACCTAAGAGTGTATATTCATATATTTTCAGAGCATAGTATGCTTAAATATTGTACAGACTGTAGAACATCTGTATTGCACTCTGAAAGTGAAGTATATTAACACTGGATGATAAAGTAGACCCAAGGCGGCAAGTGCAGTGAGGCCGACCCACATTGTCCAAGTCAGTTATGATCAAATGGTTAGAAGTGGTAAAGACAGTAGAGAGAAGAGTAAGCTGTGTGTGCATGTATGCTCTTCAGGTATCTTCTCATTCCTTTCTTGCCAGTTGTATTATCTATCCATGAAAGTTTGTTTGTGGAGGTGATGAGTCACAATAACGTGGCTAAAATATGTTGACCAGACCACACACTAGAAGGTGAAGGGACGACGACGTTTCGGTCCGTCCTGGACTATTCTCAAGTCGATTCGTTTGTGTTTGTGGCCTCCATCACAGTACTGTATTTATCAATGATTCTAAGACACTAAAATTAATATCTAAAATCTTTAACATATTATTTATACTGCACAGTACTGTACTTAATTGTGTAAGAGCACTATTGGTATTTAAACTAAATTGAGTATTATATATTTGAAACACAATTAAAATTGTGTTTTGAAAATACTGTTCTAAATGCCTATTTGTACTGAAATGATAAATAATCGAGTCAACCAGAAGAGAAATGTACGTTTCTGGAATCGTGGTGTACAGTGTTGCCAAAAATGAGTGACAAAGAGCAGGTGGTGAAGTGTTACATTATTTAACTTCAAATAGCATTATATTTATGTAGTCAATTATTATTCAGTACTGTATTTAATCCCAAGTTTTGAGCAGATCTAAGTGTTTTAACTAATAATATTACCTCAAACATGATTTTTCAGGCCAGTTAAAAGCTAAAGACAGTGATCTTATTTGTGGCACTTTAAATAAGTTTTCTTATTGTCCTTGTTACATATACTGTAGTGTTTTTGTACTTTTTTATACTAAAGTTTTATGGTTGTGCTCAAACATTGTCCTTACACATCAGTGTTATGTATATCTTGGGTATTTAATACCCATTCCTAGAGTGCAATAAAATTGTCTATAACATTGGTTACTTTTAGTAACCCTTATGAGAATATATCCATTTATTATATCCTCTTAAGGGGGTTATCTTGAGATCTTGAGGTTATCTTGAGATGATTTCGGGGCTTTTTTAGTGTCCCCGCGGCCCGGTCCTCGACCAGGCCTCCACCCCCAGGCAGCAGCCCGTGACAGCTGACTAACACCCAGGTACCTATTTTACTGCTAGGTAACAGGGGCATAGGGTGAAAGGAACTCTGCCCATTGTTTCTCGCTGGCACCTGGGATCAAACCCAGGCCCACAAGTCCAGCGTGCTGTCCGCTCGGCCGACCGGCTCCTCCTCCTTTAGGGTGAGCAGAAAATGGTGACAGTGATGCAGATAAACAATAATTAGAGGGAAGACTGGTTGATACCTGGTTGATGGGGTTTTGGGAGTTCTTCTACTCCCCAAACTAAAGAAGACGGTATCTCACAAGGCAAACTCTTCATCTTATATAAAGTGTCTACTTCATGTTTCTTTGTATCCTCATATATCCTGTAATACTTGTTTGCAATAAAATGCAAACTGAAAATCTAGATGGTAAAACCGTTCTGTTTTTTTTTTTTTTTTTTTGGAAGGCCTACATGAACAGCATCTTGGCATGGTGGTCATAGGCACTTTTATTGCTCAAAATGTATTTGAAAGTGGCATAATGAAACCTCTCTCTTTGCTAAAGTCTTAAGTTGTTATTGTGGCTTCGTCATCAATCCCTTGCATGTTTGCATACTCTGTTTAACTGGAAAAAAAGTGCAATATAATTTTTGGGCGTAAAGTAAACAAGTAAAATATTACTTGTTTTTATTTAAAGAAACATATACTAAAAATGTACGTAATGGTGTTTTAATACAAATCAAATTTATACATATGCAAGTAATTAAATAATTTAGTTATATGGCACAAATAAGTGTCTAAGTGAATTTATCTGAGGGCTACCATCTCTATGTCCTTGACGAGGAGAGGAAGCCAGCAGTTTGTCAAAGGTTTTCCCATTTGTTCTGATGATTTGATCTGTCTGGATTTTGAACTGCAACAATGGTTTGGCATTTTCAGCTTCACCACGTAGGCAGTTTTATGGGTATATTATCCCGTGGGTGAAAAAGCATCTGTTTTCTGTACATTGTGGCTAGTTGAGCTTAAAGCTGTTACTCCTTGTATGTGTAACATTTGACCTTGTAAAAGAAGGAGGGGTTTGGATCAATATCTTCTAAATTGTAAAGTATTTTTAAACTATCGATGAGATTTGCCCTGTCATGTCTGGTTTGCAGTGTTGTTAGTCATATTGCCCTATATTATTTTATATATATATATATATATATATAAATATATATAATATTGGTATATACTGGCAGCAGGGATACTGGTTAGAGGGATAGAAGCCCTACATCAGAAGATAGTAAATACAGAATATGCGGTCATATTCAATGAGACATATATATAATATATATATATATATATATATATATATATATATATATATATATATATATATTTATTATATATATGTATGTATGGTGGGAGAGGTCCCCCTCCCCTCAGTGTCGAACCATAGACCCTCCTAAGGATGTAACTGTACAACAGGTAACTCCCGGTTACCTATTTACTGTGATTTATTTCAAGCTACGGCAACCAATCTCAATTTCAGACGTTTTCATCAATTTTAGCATACTGCTTATTCAAAAATGAGTATTTTCTAGAATAGAAATTAATGTTGTTATATAAAAGAATGTGTTCTATAGGTTAGGTTAGGCTGTTTTGGCAATTATTGTATTTGCAGTACGTGGATGAAGCGTTCAGAGGTGCGATTCGAGCTTTGGATATGAACGAAGCACTGCTCGAGAAAAGTACGTAAGTCGTCAGTTGTGATGTGTGTAAATTATTGTGTTCACTTGTCACTCCTGGCTGTCTTTGTGACATGCTACTACAACCCTTCAGTTGTAGTAGTGCTACAACTACATCCATCCGTCCTACTACATCCTTCAGGCCAAGATAAGTAAAATTATGACTTACCTAGATTTTAATTAGTTTGTACTTGACTTGTACAGCAGTCAGCCAACTGACAGGATGAATCTTTCACACGATATAATAATAAACGTTTTTTCCTCAAATATAAAATAATGTTTTTATATATTGTGGGTGTATGCATAGTTATGTCCAGGTATGGTGTTTTGGTTATGTTGATCATGGAGTGTTTACGGTACAGCTTGATGTAAACGAAGCACGTTTCGAGTTATAACTTCGACTATGGTCACTTGGGTTGTAAGTTAATTATTGATTTATGATGATTTTTAATATGTTGGTATTTTACTTATAAGTTGTGAACCCATGGCCGTTTGTTTTGATGATGGGCTGCCAAAATTCGGTAAATAGAATTTGTAGACCGTAATTATTGTATATATATAGTGGAGGGTATGACTATGAATTATTGATAAATATGAAATAATGGGTAGATATTAAATATGATACGTAGTGGAATATATTATGAGAGGGAAGTAATGTGCAAGAATGGCATAAGAGGAGCAAGCCTAATAATTGCGTTGATGATAACTTTAAATCATACGAGAACATCTGTTATATCTCGCAATCCAACGCCTCTCTTGTCTTTTCAGTTAACAAAATTAATTACATCCCTATTATAATTCAACTGGAGTAATTTTGCCACAATTATAAGAAAAGCTGTCAGTGACTTTACGAGTCTGTTATAGGTGAAGGAGCCAGATTCACGAAGCAGTTACGCAATCACTTACGAACCCGTACATCTTTTCTCAATCTTTGGCGGCTTTGTTTACAATTATTAAACAGTTAATGAGCTCCGAAGCACCAGGAGGCTGTTTATAACAATAACAACAGTTGATTGGCAAGTTTTCACGCTTGTAAACTGTTTAATAAATGTAACCAAACCTGTCAAAGATTGAGGAAAGATTGAACATGTTCGTAAGTGCTTGCGTAACTGCTTCGTGAATCTGGCCCAAGGTCCGTACATAGGTTGGCACTCATCAACTATCCGGACTCGCCATTAACCGCGGGCGCAGAGTGCGTGCGGTGAGGGGAAGAAGCACAGGTCGCTCAGTGACCCCGTCACACCGTCTTGTGCCACAAAGAAAGAGGGAGGTGGCACCAGAAGCATCATGGCACTCCTCAGAAACACGTGTATCAGCGGAGAGTGAAAACGTGTATTAGTGAGGTGATTACCCCCCAGCATGGATCACCTGCCTGGCTACACAGGTATGTCTAAACAAGCCAAGGGCCTCGTGGTACAGATGACTGTTCTCGGCTAACGATCAGGGATCCCGGGTTTCATTCCCGGCCGGAATAGACGGTTGTGCACATTTCCTTTCACCTAATGCCTCCTATTATCTAGCAGTAAGTAGGTTCCGGGAAGTTTGATAACTTGTGGGAGAGAGGGGAAGGGGAACCCCGATACAAGCAGTGTGTATCTGAGAGCTGGCCAGGTGTGTTCCGTGTTCCTGAGAGCTGGCCAGGTGTGTGCCGTGTTCCTGAGAGCTGGCCAGGTGTGTGCCGTGTCCCTGAGAGCTGGCCAGGTGTGTGCCGTGTTCCTGAGAGCTGGCCAGGTGTGTTCCGTGTTCCTGAGAGCTGGCCAGGTGTGTGCCGTGTTCCTGAGAGCTGGCTAGGTGTGTGCCGTGTCCCTGAGAGCTGGCCAGGTGTGTTCCGTGTTCCTGAGAGCTGGCCAGGTGTGTGCCGTGTCCCTGAGAGCTGGCCAGGTGTGTGCCGTGTCCCTGAGAGCTGGCCAGGTGTGTGCCGTGTCCCTGAGAGCTGGCCAGGTGTGTTCCGTGTCCCTGAGAGCTAGCCAGGTGTGTGCCGTGTCCCTGAGAGTTGGCCAGGTGTGTGTGATCTCCAGAGGTCACCTTATAGTGTATCACCTACTGCAGGTGTGCAACATGACCTCACGAGCGTCCCTCGGGTATGGACAATTTACTCAATGCTACTTCATTATATACGTTAATCGCCACTTGTGGACGGTAATGTACACACTGAGAAGCGTATTCGGCTTCATTAATAGTTTACTTTTGTCCTGGACAGTGTTAAGATCTTCAGGACGGAAGTATATATATATACTTGTTTGGTCAAGTTGTTGTTGTTTCAGATTTAGCTACTCAGAATGAAGTGTCCATGTAGCACGGGCTATGGTGATCCCGTAAGCCTTGTTTGGTCAGCATGTCTGGGGATTATTATCCCTCACGTCGGTGGTAGGTCTGAAGCCTAACACCATACCTCAAAGTGTTGATTGTCCAAAAACAGTAAAGAAACATTAGTTACAAAGCTTATTATACGCACGGTGTAATGGCCAAGTCTAAAGCTGATAATTGAAATAATATAAGAGACACTAAACATGAATAATGGTAGTATAAGATTGTGTAATATGGTTGAATTAGAAATGTTCAGAAAATGTTGAACAGGTATTTAGCCACAATTTACATGTAACAGGCAGTAATTGTGCTCCCAGCCCTCGTCTCCTTCCCAACTATCGGCACTAAAGAACCATCGTGTACACTGTAATTTATTTAGTATTATGTTCAAGCTGGCTGCAAGTATCTTAGTGATCAATATGGACGTCTTTCAGTGTTATTGTCCTGACGAGTTTACAGTATTTAATAGTTCTTACTAATCGAGAATTTCCCCTTAGTACCGAAAATAATCCTGTGTATTATCACGTTGCATTTTTGTTCTGCATAAATCTACACCAGACTTCACTCCCCTGCCTGCTTAAGCTCAACTCTCCCTTCATTATTCTCAACTCTTATCTTACCACACTATCAATGTTCCTAAAGGTAAAATAATAACATCCATTTTTCTGTTGTTCTATAATTAAGCGCCTATTCTGAACCTGACCAAAGACGTTCCATTTTCCACCGAGGCTATTGTCCTCTAGCTTATATTTAGTGAAGGATGATAGGAAATTTTGCTTTCTTATACACTTTTTTTATTCTGCGTCATGTCTCGACAATGTGCACGGTGTCTTCCTCCTTT